AAAGAAAGAAAGAAAGAAAAAAGAAACGAGAGAAAGCGACGGAAAAAAGACGAGAGCTGAACAATTCGGAGTAAAAATGTAATTTCTCATTAAATCGTTGTTAGGACAATGCGAGTCGAGGTGGCTGTGTTAAATCGGGTTAAGGCACATCTATAAATACCTCACTAACTGCGAGTGAGAGACATGAAAAAGAGAGCGAGAGAGAAAGAAGCATAGAGTGTATTGGTAGAAGCGTGAGAAAGAGAGAAAGAAAGAATACAAGGGATAAAGAGAGAGAGAAAGGGGGAGCGAGTGAGATATGTAAACGGAGGAGAACAGAGAGAAATAGTAAGCAAGCGTGCGAATAAGCGAGAGAAAGAACAAGGAGAGTGGGGGTGGAATAAGGGTGGAGGAGGGATAGAAAGGTAGGAGAAGGAAGAAGAGGGAGGCTAAGAAACGTGCGAGAGAGATGAAAGCAGAATCACAAAGTTGACACAGAGAAATGAAAATGAAACAGAGAAAGACGCCGCGGTGATAACGGCGGAGGAGGGAGAGAGTTAATCAGTCCTTCTAATAGTGTGGCACATTGAAGATACACACAATTGCATTCGTTGCCAGATGCCTAAGTACACGATCGTCTCCCCTCCATTGACTACCCCTACCCCCACTCATCACCACGCTGTCACTTCTGCATTACGGACGAGCGAGAGCACATCGAGTGAATTCGACACAACGAACGGAGGGAAGGAAAAGATCGCAGGCGCGCGGAATCCGTACTAGCCAGGGAAGGCCAATCATTTTTTTTTTTTTTTTTTTTTAATTATAAATTTTTCTCAAGTTATTACTGCTCACCTCTATCTTTTCCATTTCTTTGTTGCACGACTGTCACTTACTATTCCCACAGTCATCTAGGTTCCCTTGGCACACACACACTGACGGCACATAGTGCGATATATCACGAGCTACACAAACGCGATGTGCGTGTATCGAAACGATATAGGTTTGACGCGCGCGGACCAGCGACTCACGGTGCGGCGCACGCCGCTGTCCCATCAAGACTACTTTGTATTTACTCTAATTATGTGACGTCACGGATACACTGCTCGCCCCACCACTCGCCGCCGGAGGCGCCCGAGCTATGACGAGCGTGCTCGAGCGACACCGAGGTCGAGCGAGCAACGCGCATGGCGCAGCCACCAGTCACCTGTCGTCTCTTCTCCTTCTTGTAGATCGCTTAGTGCAGTACATCGTGAAACGTTAGCAATTTTATACGCCGTGTGCCTGTTTCACAGCTCGAGCTCCAAAACTCGCTGTTACGTATTTTTCTATCATCGCGACTTTCAATTCTACCATCAGTTCGGATATCATCGTTCTTCAACAGACGCAAACGATGTGCAGATAAAGTTACACGGCCGATTTTTCTGCTCTAACCTGAACTCGACGTTACGAATTTGTGCTCCTGGTGATACTTTACACCTTCATGTTCAAGTTATAAAACTCAAAGAAACTTTTACGTTCGTGTACCTACATTAAACGTTAATATCCTGCAGTCGATTCGGTTTCAAATTGAGAAACTTTTCCTATTTCCTAGGAATAATTAAATGTTCGACGTTTATCTTGTAATGTATATTTACGGACTTTATCGTGGAATGAGTTGATAGTGTAAGAGTGTCATTTGTTACAAAATGCAACTTGCATAATTATTTAATCATTGTAATAAAATAACGTGGAAGATCGAAAAAAAATTATAAACGTATTAAATTATTAAAGTATTAAACATCGATTAATCACATCTAATGTCAGTGCGGTTACGTTTAATTGTTTTTTGTAAAAAGCAAGTGTCAAGTCGAATTAAAAAGATAACTATAAAAATTGACGTTAAAAAAAATTGAAAGCATTTTAGGGAAAAAGCATAAAAGTGTGAAAAAAAAAGAAACAATAAAAATGAACTTCAACGACATTTGAGAGATTAAAATCGGACAAACAAATAAAGTATTGTAAGAATTTACTGTCCCGTAAGTTGGTATATGTCAAATAGCTATCAATTCCGAATTTAACGAACACAGTCGATATAGACGGACAAGTGTGTCGATAAAAGTGCATAATAAATTACACCACCGTTGATAAATCATTTATTTGTTCTATTTATTACCCAAAGCTCATTTCCAACGTCCAGTTCTCATAAAATATCTCATGCGTTGAAAATACTTGCCTTTATCGAACACACGAATTACAAAAATCAATGTCTATCTTTATAGTAGACGTGTTACATTTCCCAATCATTGCGCTTTATAGGTTAACTTCGCTTTTCTTATTCCGTACAATGAATAGACTTCCGATAATTTTCGCGATATAATTCTTTTTTTTTTTTTTTTATTTATTCAACAGTTTTTTTATAACTTTCATATGTTATATGACAGAAATTTAAGTAGTTGCTCCAGATAAAGATTTTGTTGTAGCGGAAGGCAACGTGCACGAGGAAGTATATAGGAATATATACACACACACATCATACATACATACACACATATATGTATATGTATATATCATATGTATTCCTATATATAATATAATATTTACAATAAGTGTAGAAGAAAGTTGTTTAGATGTCGAAAGACGGATTTTAGGCCTATTTCGCGACACATTGATTTGCACAGTGCTACGATTAGCAAACTATAGACACAGGCTCGTATAAATTTAATTATGGTGATTAATTCGTTGTTCTTTTCTTTTTTTAACTTTTTTCCACTCAGATATCCTTCATGTCCTTCCGTTGCAATAATTTTAAAACAACAAGATATTATTTAAAAACAAAAAGATTGAATGAAAATTATTTCTGTAACTATGACAGCAAAAAAGATATAATCGGAAAAGATTTTGTTCGAAACTGAGGCACTGTTAAAAAAGTTACGAGAAAAGTTTAAATGCAAATACATCTTTTATTATTTTGAAAATTGATTTCCAAAATTTAATTGTTGTCATCTCTTCTTATTTCTCTTAAACAAGAATTTGAAATGTTTAAATTTGAATTTAATTGGTTGGAACTTGTGCAACGGAAAAACATGGCGTACGGCCATTACGAGAAATCAGTTTGTGCGAATTTTTTACACGTCACTAATCGCTGAAAATCTTTTAGCGCCAGAACGATCGACTATCAAAACTATATTACGAATATAAAGTTAAGTTTTACCTTAATTTGTAAAGAGTTGATATGGCTGAACAAACAGCAATACGATGAAGCTAAGAAAGGTCCGCTAATTCAAAGTTGACTCTTCGATTTCGAGTCGGCGTCTGTAAAAATTTTATGGTTATACGTCAGTATACAATATTTATACATTATCGCGATTGTTTAACATGTAAATTTGAACAAGAACAGAATCTTACCGATGTTCTAGCACTAATTAGTGATTATATGACGGAAAAAGAAAACATTTTTATCACACTCGGAATTGTAATTGACACGGCGCGAATCAAACCGAAAATTGCACTGCGCAGTTAAACTTAAAATTGGAGGGAAATTCGTTCCGATGACAGCGCCACCAGTCACCTCCGCTATCTAGCACTAGATATAGGAACTACAATGACTTTTTCTCTTGTGCCCAGGATCACATATGTAGTTATTCGAAATCTAGATTTATTTCGGGTTAATCGAGATCTTTAAAATTCAGTGCCCTTTTCGTTTTGTGTTGTTCGATTCGAAAATTCATATTCTCTCGTAATAACCGTTCTTTTCGTATTAACGAATTTTAATCGAGCTTGTTGTGCATGATATTATATAAGAAAGTATACGAAATTATCGATTGTGACTTAGGTTATGGCTATTGTTGTAACTGAATGTGACAGAACGACTTGTTTTTCAAGCATCATGGGAAGGTACGTAGAGTTCTTTTCAGACACTGAACATACAAATACTGTGTCGCGTACGTTTAGACGACCAATTTCATCTTTCAATTTTGCATTCAATTTTAGATTCGTAACTATCTGAAATGGAATCGTGGTACGAATTGTATATATTTCGAGTGATATTGTTCATTTTTTAACACGGTCAAACTGTAAACGTACGTGACATATCTTTATTACAAAGTATTCTACGCTCAGAGGACACTAACTTTTCCATCACGTTATAATAATTTTCTTCGATGAATTTGAAGTAACCATGTAATTCTCAACGTTACGTTTTTCTACCGCGTCATTGCTGCCAATGTACTAGTTTCGTTGGTCCTCCAAGAGTCAATAATTGAAACAATGCGAAATAACAAATTTATTCGCTATTTCAAGCACGTCGGTGACAAAATGTCAAATGGAATTGAAGGAGTTCCAGCATGTTCCATTAGCAACGATCAATTGTCTAAATCTAAATTTATCGGTACTGTAACCAGAGCGTAACTGGAGTGAGGAAAATATCACAGCTGACCCCCGGAAACGTCGAAAATCCAAATTAAGGGAGGGACATATTGAGGGCTTTTCGAGGAACTGCCCGGTCGTCCCAGCACCGACTTTCTTAAAATCTGTTCCTTTTCTTTCCTTTCCTCTGACAAGCGTGTTTGCTACGTCGAATATCATTCAATATAACGTACTTGTAAAATATAGAAAAAATGATACAAATAGCGACCAGAGATCTAGACTCTCGAAAAAGGATTTCCTCCAGTAAAGCGAGTCCGGGCTGATCGGGCTTCCTTTCTTTGCGCGTATATTCATATTATACATGTATATTCTGTAACTAATAGTAATATTAATTGTATGATCGCTATTAACTATTTATTATTATTATTATTATCATTGGCTCGCACGCTAGACCGATCGCTGTGCCGGCACGTTACGTTCATGATTTACATCGACCACCTTTTTGTATTGATAGAATTTATTCTGTCTGTGAATAAGCGAACATCAGAATAGAATAGTTCCTTGAGACCGTGAACCAGAGCTGCTAGCTTAATTAATCGATTAATTAAATACACTTTCGAAATGGAGGCTGACGTGTCGCATGCACGGTGCATTTAGAAGCTTGTATCGTAGATAAATTTTTTTTTTTTTTTTTCCGAACAAAATTTCTTTCAATACCTTGTTTCAATCCTGTCGAGCCGAAGTTGTTACCCCGTAATTCAATGTGCTTGAAATTTACTACGGTCGAGCGCACCGGCACAGTAATTGGCTTCTACTTGTATCAAGGAAAGCGTGTCGAGGTCGCACGAGGCTTCTGAATTTCTGTTCGAAACGCTACTTTATATAGGGAAATTATAATCACAGATTGATTCAGCGCGTAAATTTCTAAGCGGTCGCGCGTTTT